ACCCCTCTCCTGTTAAACCAGCCTTCGGTTTTTGTCGTAAGTCACACACATTTCACACACAAGATAAAAGGTTCAAGTTAGCCAAACTTAAAGGGGCTTAGTTTATCCTGGGCTTTCTCTGTAGTTATGCTGGAGGACAAACTAACAGCTTTCTCACTCTGCTACTTTCTGCTACTAACATCCTATTGCATATTGTCTGCTGTCATTAAACATTTCTCCATTTAACTTCATATTGCTTCTCCATTTTGGACTGCAGTGTGATATCACTTGTTTTAGAGGTAGGTCTGATGTTTTCACTTTATGTCTTCTCTTCCAAGACAGTGGATCCAGGCTGTATCAGTATTGTTAACAGCATTAACCAAGCTGTTGCATGACTGTGTACAATTCTGACACAATTTTATTATTTTTCACTGAAATTCACCAACTTATTTGAACAAAGCATTTTCATTTTTTTACTAACTCATAGGATTCAAGGGGAACTGGTGAAAAAATTGTAAAGCTTTGCTCAAATTCTTGTATCTCACTGCAGTAGATTTGCCCCTCTTAAGGTTTGGATGATGATACTGACATTAATAAATTAATTAGATGGCCTGTAGCTAGTCCAACAGTATCATGTAGTCAGTATAACATGTTAAATATCAAAAGGATTAATTATTCAAAAAGTAGAGAATAATTGGTATATGTTAAAAAAAATTGTCACTTTAAGTCTGGTTCAAGTAATTCAGTCCATACTAGAATGTCTTATTTTAGATTTTTTTTAAATTGCGCACAAAATTGTCTGTGAAGTTACGTGGTCAGAATCAGCAACCGTGATGAGAAACAGACCATCTGTTGACTACAGTTGATTCCTTAGCACAGAAAAACAATGCAGATCTTGTGACAAGTAAAGCATTCTTTTCACAGCAGCTGTACTTTTCCAGAGGTTTCCAAATAAATGTGTTCATAATTTACAAACTTATTGTTAAAGTAACGCTGCAAAAGATTTTTAAAACATATAGTGAATATACTTTAGAGAAGTATCTGAGGTCTAACCATCTGCACAAAAAGATGTTTGTTTTTCCAACAGTCAGTGGGTTTGTTCTGGA